AGCGTGCCGTGCCAAACCCGGCCCGTTTTTTTGTTGCGTTTCCACTAGGGGTAGTTCCGGGTACTGTTTCATAGTTTTTCTGGCTCTCCAAAATCCAGGTTCTTTCCGGGCCAACAACCGGACTGAGTATGCTAAACTAGTGAGAGAATCGCTGGCAAGGGGGCTACAATTACAACAAAATGAACATATTTTACCGTGATTTAATTGTAATACACGTTTCAAAATGATGCTGAAGTAACAACATACTGATACCGGTTAGTAAAAACCATGAATGAATGCTTTGACAAGTCTGCAGACAGACGGCAGGCGAAAAACCTTTTAAAATGCGTGTTTTCTGAATGGAGATCGGCTAAGCTAACGTTGTATATGCTCCGACCGTCCACACTCACAACAACGGCCTACAGACATAAATAAAACAGCGACTGTATTCGCCATGACACAGGCAGTCTGTGCTTTGTACTTGTTTAACTTGTGTCTAGTTTCTGAACAGATATGAGGAGCTGAGTGCTAACAGCTAACGGCTGATGTTGGTTTTGTGGTTCGCATTGAAGATGACGTCACGGCTCCGCCTACACTGCGTTACTATAGTTACTACCCCAGTTCCTAAAATGTAATGGAAACGCAGCATAAAGTGAGCCTGGCCTACCAAGGCCTAACTATACCGTACTAAGCCGTGCGAGGCCATGCAGTGGAAATGCTCCATAACAAGACTTAACTGTATTATCCTGAGTAGGGCCTCTTTGCACTTCCTAATAATTGCGGAAGAGACAATGGGCCTCTCTTCTCTAGAAACTGTAATTCAATACCATACCTAATTATATTGACTAGCTCCAAGACTGATATAACAGTGTGTTTCCTGTTTCCTGCAGATGTCCAGCAGCTGGTGGTGGTTAAAGAAGAGCTTCTCCCTGACCAGCAGGAGTGGAGCACCAGTCTGGACCAGGAGGACCCAGAGCCCCCCCCACACATTAAGCAAGAACAGGAGGAACTCAGGATCAGTCGGGAGGGAGAGCAGCTTCAGGAGCTGGAGGAGGCTGATATCACCAAGTCCACTTTCACTCCTGACCCTGTGAAGAGTGAAGATGATGAAGAGAAACCTCAGTCCTCACAGCCTCATCAAAGACAAACTGAACACATGGAAACAGAAGCTGATGGAGATGACTGTCGAGGACCAGAACCAGCCAGGAACTCAGATCCAGAGAGCAGTTTACAACCAAAGACTGAGGACGACACTGGAGACTGTTCTGAACCTGACACTGGAGACTGTTCTGAACCTGACACTGGAGACTCTTCTGAACCTGACACTGGAGACTCTTCTGAACCTGACACAGAAGACAGTACTGATTGGAAGGAGACCAGAGAACCTGCGTCAGGCTCAAACTCACTGAAAAATAGACAAGAATCTGTCAGTGATCCACGACGTAGTGCTGAAAAGAAACCATTCAGCTGCTCAGTCTGTACGAAAGCTTTTAGACATAGAAATGATCTAAATCGACACATGAAAATCCACACAGGAGAGAAACCCTTTCACTGCTCAGTTTGTGAGAAAGCTTTTTCACGGAGTGAAAATGTAAAGAAACACATGAGAATCCACACAGGAGAGAAAGCACACAGTTGCTCAGTCTGTAAGAAAGCTTATTCACAGAAGATACATTTAAAGCTACACATGAGAGTCCACACAGGAGAGAAAGCACACAGTTGCTCAGTCTGTAAGAAAGCTTTTTCAAGGAATATAAGTTTAAAAGCACACATGAGAGTCCACACAGGAGAGAAACCATTCAAATGCTCAATTTGTGAGAAAGCTTTTTCACGGAGTGGAAATTTAAAGGAACACATGAGAATCCACACAGGAGAGAAAGCACACAGCTGCTCAGTCTGTAAGAAAGCTTTTTCAAGGAATATAAGTTTAAAGACACACATGAGAGTCCACACAGGAGAGAAACCATTCAAATGCTCAGTTTGTGAGAAAGCTTTTTCCCGGAGTGGTAATTTAAAGGAACACATGAGAGTCCACACAGGAGAGAAAATATACAGCTGCAATGTTTGTGACAAAAGATTTAAATGGCATAGTCATTTCAAAAGACACAAGTGTGTTGGTCGTCAGTCCTCACAGCTTAATGAAATTCAAACTGAGGATAACGGAGAGGCAGAGCCTCCAATCAGCAGCTCAGCTGAACACATGGAAACAGAAGCTGATGGAGGACAGTGAATAAGTCTTATGACAGTTCACACATGAGAAAAATCTGTCTGACTGGATTAACAGTAAGACATTCATTATAAGACTTAAATGAACTCCATCTTTATCAACATAAGTGGACAATATGTTTAATGTTTTTGTCATACTGATTTTCTGATGTATACGTTAACCACTGACTGTTGATGAACCATTTTATTTTGGATTGAGGGCTCCAAGTTTCCATATAGAGATATAGGATGATTTGATGTATTGTTCTTTATTTCTAAATGTTTTGTATCATTGCTATCCTGTTAATGAGCCCTGTTTTACATAAATGTACCTGTTATGATTGTTTTTGCTTCTGTAACTGTTGGGGAAATATTTTCCAAGGCCCATAACTTTGACTCAGTTTATCAGTTCATACTGACTGAGCACACGCACCTGTAACCTTGGCTGCTGTGCTCTCAGTGTTTTGCCTCCCTGTTCCTGCCTGTTGGCGTCAGCTGATAGAGGTGTTATGATTCTATCTTGTTATGCACAATGTTGATTATTCTCTCTGAACTAGCTAAATACATGGGTCTGGGGTAGAGTTCTCTCAGAATTGACGTGGCAACTCTACCGTGAAGTCAGAACCTCTGACTCTTTGACTTGTTTTGTGAATTCTCCGGCCGAAGCTCCAAATAACCCATCAGTGTTTGACATCAAAGCTCCAGCTCTCCCCGTTTCTCCTTTGAGTTGGTGACTCCTCCTGCATTGCTACACAGAAGTTTCCCCCAGAGTAACTGTAAGGGAATACATTTGTCTATTTTGTATCCTGACCTAATGCCGTTACATGTAATACGTTACTCTCTAAGCCTGATTTCACCCACCTGCAACCGATTCGCTAATAATCACAAATGTTCATTTCTTTGACCCCTTGACTATTTCTTGTTTAATAAACGTTACATGTCCTCAGGACCAAGTTCCCGTGTCCTGCCTTTCACCTGCTGATCACCCACTGCTCATTTAAGGTGGACTGACTTTACAATGGACCAACTAGTCTTAGTGTCTTAATGCAAACGTTTTGTAAAGTGATGCTAGACCAAAAACGTGCTGTTGGGTTGTGTGCTCTCTGCAGGACGGGGTCTGTACTCAAAGATCGTTTATGAAATGAGAGCTTCACTCTGTTTTTGTTGTCCAAACGACGCCAACAGAGCGATACGTCTTCTTTCCAGCAGATGGCATAAATGTTAAATCATTCAGTTCAACTGTCATCCACATATTAAAGGTAGGGTAGGTAATTTTGGAGAAACCGGCTCGAGATCGCTAGAATTTGAAAATACACAACCGGAGAAAATCTGCCACTTCCTTACAGAGCCCCTCCTCCAACACACACAAACGCGCACATGACCAATGAGGGCACGAGATAAGTTTGTGCACAGATGGAAGGCTGACAGGCAGGTAGGTCATCCAGTTATTTTAGCCGGGCATACCCATAAAAAAAGTCAGAAAATAAAAGAGACCCACTTGAGGAAAAAGGTTCTGAACCAGTGAGAGTTCTTCATTTGCACATAAACATGGTAACATATCTAAAGTTGTGACCAGATGGTGTCGCCCTCTGCACACATTTAACGCTTTGCATTTTATTGATTTATTTTGCCTTTTATACCACACTGCAAGTCTGACATTTATTAATGAGACGACTGGAAGTTACACTGCAGATTTAAACACTTATAAACACAGCTCAAGTCTTTCACAGCCAGAAATATCTCTCAGTGTAACCTTGTTTATTATCTTGCCTTTTTTTCACAGCTAGAAATATTCAAGCAGAAAAATTAGTGCCTGTTAAATCAAAGGGAAAGCAATCATCTAAGACAACATTTGTGAAGCGGATAAGATCAACTCAGCGTACAAGACACATCAATCCTGTGATGTTTGGTCATAATCCAGGCTCTATGTTCACATAGAGAAGGATATCACAGTGTTTGAAGGCCTTTGTCGGTTAAAAGCCAGCAGAAGGGTGTATTATGGCGCTTTTCCACTGCAGGGCCTCGCTCGGCTCAGTACGGTATAGTTAGGCCTTGTTAGGCCAGGCTCACTTTATGCTGCGTTTCCATTACAGTTTAGTAGCTGGGGCAGTAACTATAGTAACGCAGTGTAGGCGGAGCCGTGACGTCTTCTTCAATGCGAAACACAAAATGAACATCAGCCGTTAGCTGTTAGCCCTCAGAGCTCACAGCTCCTCATATCTGTTCAGAAACTAGACAGAAGTTAAACAAGTACAAACCACAGACTGTCTGTGTCATGGCGAATACAGTCACTGGTTTATTTATGTCTGTGTAGGCCGTTGTTGTGAGTGTGGACGGTCGGAGCATATACAACGTTAGCTTAGCCAATCTCCTTTCAGAAAACACGCATTTTAAAAGGTTTTTCGCCTGCCGTCTGTCTGCAGACTTGTCAAAGCATTCATTCATGGTTTTTACTAACCGGTATCAGTATGTTGTTACTTCGGCATCATTTTGAAACGTGTATTACAATTAAATCACGGTAAAATATGTTCATCTTGTTGTAGTTGCCAGCGATTCTCTCACTAGTTTAGCATACTCAGCCCGGTTGTTGGCCCGGAAAGAACCTCAATTTTGTGTGCCAGAAAAACTGTGGAAAAGTACCCGCTAGCCGGAACTACGCCTAGTGGAAACGCAACCAAAAACGGGCCGGGCACGGCACGCTTAAACTGCGCTCCGCGCTGTAGTGGAAATGCGCCATTAGTCTGGGAAATAACTCATAAAGTGGTAAATTAACAAGAAAGAAACTGTGATAAAGTTTGAAGCTTGTTCTCCCCCAGCTCTCCTACGTGATGTCCGGCTGGCGTTACTTCGTCTGCCCGGTGGAGTTCAACAACGACTCCAACCGGTTCCAGGTGGACTGCGAGCCGTCTGAGCTTTTCCAGCTGCAGGACTACGCCTTGCCCTCCGTCCTTGAGTCCTTCACCGGATGGGTAAGACTCGCCTGACCTTCATCTGTCCTTCCTGTTTTCTGGCATCACAAGTCATATAAACATTCATGTAACTATGAAAGAATAAAATCACTTTATTGCAAATCCAGTATGCCAAAAAACAAGAGGGATCTGTCATATTTGTAGAATAATGTATTTGTGTAGAAACCTTTCAAACACTTTGGAAGTGGACAATGCCAAACCGATATAATACAGCATCTCTGTAAAGCTATAGAAAAATATAGACAGTTTATTCTTAACAGGTCAAACATTACACGTTGCAAACTCAAAGCTTATTACATTTATGTCAGGACCTAGTCTGTAGTTTCAGCTAGTTTTAATTGTGTCAGCTATGTTATTTAGTTTTAATCCTGTGTTACTCATTAAGTCAAGTTAAAATATATCTAAATGTTGTTTCTAGAGTACACATTAACAGAACCGAAGTCCTGTTTAACACCAGGTTTTTTCTTCAAATCATCATATTTTTCTCAGCCAGGTTTGATTTTGATACTAAAAGCCTGGGGATGAAAGTCCTATTTTAGCCAAATAACTAGTAACTAGTTTAGTTTGATTGAACTGCTGGTCTCTGTTTCAGTCTGACACATGTTCCTTGTCTCCGCAGACCACGGTGCGTTTGTATCCGTTCCAGATCCACAGCATCGCTCTCTCCTCCTTCGCCTCCATCATGGGACCCTTCGGAGGATTCTTCACCAGCGGCTTCAAGAGAGCCTTCAAGATCAAAGTAGGGATTTCTGACACGTTTGTTTACTTCAAAACAATCCAACTATCCCTTTTAATGCCTGTTGTCTTTGCTCCATTTATATTATATTCATAGCAGTAGTCTGATCACATGTACTGTTGTCTGTTCATCCAGGATTTTGCCAACACGCTCCCAGGTCACGGTGGCATTATGGACCGGTTCGACTGCCAGTACCTCATGGCCACATTTGTTAACCTGTTAAGCCCAAGAGACCCCGGTACCGGGGCACTGCCGCAACATCTTGCAGGAAACAGTGTCTGAGGGCATGTTCATTTAATAAACTATGAATGTTTTATATCCATGTAATGGGAAGAAACTCATCTAACTGATCATTTTTATTTATTTTTCAAAAGAAAACCCACAATGCTAACACTGAGCCTCTGAATTAGCAACGAGCGAAAAATGCTAACAGATTACTGCACCGAAAATCACTCACAAAACCTTATTATATATCTTTTCTCCACATCCATGACATCGATTCACATCGTGAGGTGACACAGAATCGAAGGGTACCCTCATTATCACTGAATTATACAAAATCGCGACGTTATAAACAAAAACAGACATCAAAACAGGTGGCGCTAGGTAGCTAAAAATGCTAACATGCTTACCTTGGCTCTGTAGTCTCTCCAAAGTGGTCTTCAATGGCATTACAACGATAAAAACGCTACTGAAGTTAATCCATAGGTTAATCCAATGTGTCTGTGTCCCTTTGAAATTATTTCTGATAATCCATAAGCATTAAAACTGCTTTTCCGTTTCCAGATGTCAAAGCTAGAGATAGTTTCACTCTAATGCAAAATTACATGCGCAAAGCCCCCACCTTTTTGTTTCACAATGAGTGTGTGTGGGGGACTCCTCCTTCGATTCTATTGGCTCTAACGGTCAGAAAGAGGTGTCAACCATCAAAATCGACCAATGGGTTCCAGAGATATGGAAAAAAAAACATTTCCACCCAAATCACCTCAGAGGTGGAGTGTTTTTGGCTAAACCTCTCTAAAAAGGTCAAATGTCACTTGTTTTGCATCAATCTTGATACAGGGTACTTATTATATGTTGTACTTTGGATTCCTAAAGTTTTTAGTCTACTAACCCATCATCCAAGGGTAGTTTTCACTATAAGTAAAAAATAATTTTTGGACGGACACTATAATTTACAGTTTTTTACTATGTAAAATCTGCATCCGCATTGACCAGCAGCTCCACATCTTCAACTCCCTGAAGGAGAAGGGTATCCTGCCGGCGCTGGAGGACGTCATGGCCTAGACCCCCTCACCCACTGTGGCTCACCCTGAGGGGGAGGAGAGAGAGGAGGGCAGCACCACGAGGACCCCCTGCTGACCCGGGACACTGGCAGTGATTTGTGTGTGAGCGAAAAACACATCAGAGAAAAAAGAAAAACGACAAAAAACGTCAGCTTTTGTTCATTCCACATCATTTGGTTTGGGAGTCCAGTGTTTGTGAGTTACTGTATTGTTACACATTTCTGTTATATACATAGTTGTTTTTTATATTTGTTCTATTATATCTAAATGTCGTGATTCATTCAGACTGGATTCACCTTTGCCATTCGCCACGTGCATTTATATGTGAGTTTGTGTCTGTTTTTCCTGTGTTTTCGGTGCCATTCATCATTTCATAAAAGAGCCATTGACATCATTTCATCATGTATTAACACAAAATAATGTCCTGAGAAGAATAGCTAAGTTACCCTGAAGTGTTTGACAGGATCAGTTACAGATACAATCCTCCATACAAGAATAGTGTTTTATTTTGAAGGCCAGTGCGACTGACACCAGCACCCTCTCAGAATAATGGTCAATCATTTGCAGAAAAGCTCTCAGAATACAATTATGATTTTGTTGAATTGGCTTATTCTCTGTGACATAGTTTTACTCTCTGACAAAGAGCTGTTTTACCACATGTTTTGTAAGGTGGTGGGATTGTTGCATCTGTTTGTTACATTAGTAGAAACAATAATGGTTTCTACACTGCCAATATCTGCTTCTTTATGTTGTAATGTTAGCAGCTTCAGGGCAGAAATACAGATTGTATCCAGAATATGTTTATCACTGGTGGACCTGTGTGTGTGACGGCAGCTGTGCCAGATGTGACCTGATTGCCAATTCAAGATGTTTTTTAGAAAGGACCCTTTGATGTTTATACCAGTGGCAAATGTTGGCTTCATTTGGTGGTTCAAATATAAAAGATTCTCTAATGTTGAGTTCATTTTGTTTTGTTTTCTTAAGGGGAAGCGCCCCAGGTAAAAATGTCCGTATGATGTCCGTATGACTTTTTGTTGATATTGATAAAGAAAGGGAAAGCAGTTTTGGCTTGTGCTTCAAACTTCCAAAAAGGCCAACAACTGGTACAAAGTAATATTGCTAAGTTCATCAACAAATGGTCACATCTTTCTGGGATATTTTGGGAACAAACATCTGTATTCAGTGTACGTGGGTCCAACTCTGGTTGGATAAAGATAAAGGCTCTTATATGTCACCATAATCATCCAATCACATCAGGTTGTCCATCATGTCTGTGCAGATTCATCCTTTCGTTTCCATCCCATCAGAAAATATATCATTTATCCTCGTCAGTGAAAGCCAAATGAAGTACCTCACGTGTAAATGTAACCCTGGCTATACAAATGCTGTGTTTATTTGTAAAGGACAAAACAGCAATATGAACAATCATACAGCAGTCAGTGTAGCAGAAATGTGGAGTTAAGTATCTAAATGCTATTCTTAAAAAAAGAAAACAGCTTGCGTTTGTGCTATTATCTGTGACTGCTTCACGTATTCCTTTTGGAAATAATTTGCCATTTTAAATATCCATTTTATTGGGTTCTGTCCTCAGAAAAAGCTGTATATTTTTAAACAATTTACTCACTTTTTTGTAACACAACATTTGCTTCATTATGGCAATCAATTTCTAAAAGAGATAATGAATGTATAGATTCTTCGTTTTCCCCTTTTCCATGTCATGTCATGTCTTAACTTCTTAAAGTATTTATTTACTGTGAGAAAACCTTTTCAAAGGGACTATATTGTACATTTCAGAAGATGTTTAGAAACGGTGTTCTTCAGTATTTCTGGTTAGAGGAATATTGAAATGATTGCCATATAGGAGAGAGTATGGAGATAGCAGCAAAGTCTTTTCCTGTCTTTTCTTCTTGCTCTGACTTCAGTGCAGTTGGGTGTTTTTTAGGCTGTTCCACTGTAACTGTAATTAAAGCATTGTCTCCAGAAATGATATGTTTAGGACTGGTGTCTCAGCATTTATAGATATGTTCTATTTCTATTTTGAAGGTCATTTCCCTGCAGCTCTGTACTGCCATTTCTCTCTCTGGTGTCACAACTGTCCACTAGAGAGCGCTGCAGCTCCTGAGATTTAACACTGATGCTGCAGAAAGCTTTCTTACTGCTGTTGAATACATTCCAGTAAGTTCAAACATATTATTAATGCCACTATTCAAATAAGATCTGTTTGTTTTATGGCACCCGTTATGCCATTTTAAATCAACACAGTGCCCTCTTCTGAAGGAATGAGCGTCCCACATATATTATTCTTAAAACTGTGCAATGGTTTTTGTTGACATTTTGTCTAGAGAAAATAACTTGTACTCTTTGATGCTGAAATGTGCTTTGCCTTAGTTTCAAGAAAATTAAAGCTATGAAAAAACAAACAGTGTGTGTGACGGGCTTCTTCCCTCTTAGTCTTCTTCCCCATTTATAGATATCACGTGCACTTCATGACACCTACTGAACAATTTCATAACAGCTGTTTATATCCTAAAGCAGTGGTGTGGATAGTAACTAAGTACATTTACTCAGTTACTGAAACATTTTAGGTCATTTACTTGAGTATTTACTTTTCCTGATAATTTATACTTATAATCAAATAATTGTTCATGTATAATTATAGAGCTTTATTGGCCCCTATGGGAAATGTACAAGCTACCCTGCAGTATATAAAGGTACACTTGCTTCCTATTGATCAGAGGCAACATTTGAGCATTAATGGATTCGGATTTATAATTGTAAAATATAACATAATATTACGTTTTTCAGGTACTTTTACTTTTACAAATATAAGTATCATTTGACGACTTAAGGACAAAGTATTCAGCACTTTAACTTAAATAAAAACAGTAATACCACGGTGTGTAGAAATGATCAACACAATACAAATAAGTCCAGCATTTCAATGTGATAAACACATGAATGCATCAATGATTATAATCAAAACAAATCATATATATTATTCTGAATGGGTCGATCTGCATATTGAGTACTTTTACTTTTGGTACTTTAACTTTAATTTGATGATAATACTTTTGTACTTTTACTTCAGTAACATCTTGAATGCAGGACTTTTACTGTAACAGAGTATTCCGACACTCTGGTACTTACTTACTCAAGTACAAGGTCTGAGTACTTCTTCTTTTACTCAAGTACAAGATCTGAGTACTTCTACTTTTACTCAAGTACAAGATCTGAGTACTTCTACTTTTACTCAAGTACAAGGTCTGAGTACTTATTCCACCTCTGCAGCTTACAATAGGTCAATCAACCACGAGGATGCAAACTCCGGACAGCACGAATTCTGCAAGAACATTAGCTTCAGATATGCCAAACATTTGTAATTGCTATACAGATATTTGATTTGTTCAATGATGTTTATTTATTTTCCCTTTTTCCTATATGAGTATTTTCTGTTAGTTATAATAGTTTTTTTTTTGGAAAGAGTAGTTTTATTATTTGTCCAGTAGGAGGCGGTAAGGTAACCTCCGGATACCAATCGCATCTTGAAACCAAAAAGAAGAAATCCTTCCCGCTTTTCTTTTGACGTCCTCAACTCGCACCGGAAGTGAAGTTCCTAGCTGCCATTAAAAGAGAGAAGAAGAAGAAGAAGAAGTGAAGTTCCCAGCTCTTTCTAACCTGGATCGAGGAGGCGTCTCGTCGCTACGGTTCTCTCTCTCT